CCATCTCCCTGGCCCCCAATGGGATTGATTTATTTATTTATTTATTTATTTATTTATTTATTTATTTATTTTTGTGGTGCCAGGGATCAAACTCAGGACCTTGCACTTGCTAGGCAGGCGCTTATGCCGCTGAGCTATCTCCCTGGCCCAGGACAATGGGTTTTAGTTGAGACAGCTCCACTCTGAGCTAGAAGAGCACAGGTTGCTGAGCGCTAGCTTATTCATAGACTGTATTAGGAGAAGTATGGTATCTGGATGATGGGAGGTCAGAAATCCTCCCAATTTAATTGGATCATAAATACAGCATTAGGGTCATATCTACAGACAGATTCCTATAAAAAAAGTAAGTCGAACCGAGCTTAATTAGCGTGGCTGCAGATGTGAAAACCATGACATGAGGAATGTCTTAAGTAACTGGAAGGTGTGAGTTAGAAAAGAGGAGCCAGATATGGGGTTCATGCTGTAGTCTCAGCCTTCTGGGAGGTTGTCAGGAAGATCACAAGTTCAAACCCAGCCTGGGAAACTTAGTGAAATCCTATCTCAAAACAAAACAAAAAAATAATAAAAAAGAACTTGGGATATACCTTAGTGTGAAGGCCCTGGGTTCAATCCCCAGTACAAAAGGGGGGTATACTGTAAGGGACATGGTAGCCGTCCTCTAAAACTTATTTCAGAGAAGGAAAGAGAATTAGATGTGGTATTTTGACCATGGTGGAGGGCAGACCTAGAGCCAGTTAGTGTAAATTTTGGAAGCATATTCTGATTAAACATTTTAAAACTTTCCAATAATCACAGCAGTATATTATGGCCTTGGAACTATGGAGTATGCCTGGATCTTGTCGCTTAGTGAATCTGCAGAAGTAGTCACTGTTCTGTGGAGGCTTCATTGGTGGGATTATGGGTTATTTATATCTCGTGACTTAAGCAGACCAATAGTAGGGACATCATACTCTGTGCAGGAGAAGCTGGCTGTTGTAATTGCTCTCCTGTCTAAAACAATCATATAAAAAAGGTCTTCAGGTGTGGACAGTAAGTAATGGTGCAATATTATTCCTGAGAGGAGAGAACGGATCAGAGCCTAGGGTACTCCAGCAGTTTCCAGGCTGTGGTGCAGGAAAGGGAACTTAAGGAGGAAAAGAAATTCCCTCAAGAAGAGCAGGGGTACAGCAATTAACCACTAGGAAGAATGTATTCAATATGTTAATTATTGAAACTGTCCTACCAATTTGGTTGGAAACTGTCTCATTGCTATTTGTTTCTCAATAAAATTATGGGGGGGGGAAGAAAAACCAAAAGCCCCAAGCACCCCCAAAATGAAAATCCAAAACACTATAATAGGTGGTTAACACGTTGTGTATTGTTGTCTTTAGTTACTCAAGGTACGAGATATCAGTATTTTATTGTTCAAACATTATTAGCACAGATCTCTCTTTTGAATGAACTGAGAGGAGATAGTGTAACTATCTTAACTATCTTCTATGGTATGTATTTTTTTCCTTTTGCACTTGCAATCTGATTGGTTGATCATAATTTTGACACATGCTGAATCTTCCTGAGTTCGTTATCTCTCTCTATTTTTTGTATTTTTAGGGAAGGGTCTACACGGTGTTCAGGGTCTCACTACTAGATCGGACTCATAGTGATCCGCCTATTTACAGCCTCCCAAGAGCTGGGATTACAGGCACGTGCCACCACGGCCAGTCTCAGTTGCCATCTCAGTGTGCCCTGGGCACGGGGCTGGCAAGGGCAGGCCTGGGGATCACTTGCAGGCGCTTTAATCTGCTGAGGTATTTGGCCGGCTCTGCTCTCTATATAAAGGGCTGATTGGTAGCACGTTTTGGACGCTGTCTGCCTGTTAGGAGCTATTCCTATTCTCCAATAAATGTTTCTAATTCAAAAGAAAAAAAAAAAGAAGAGCAGGGGTCTTGCTGAGCTGAGGAGACAGACCAGAGTTAGACCAAGGTGACTGGAAACTGTGGGGGCAGAGACAGAAGAGAGCTACCTGCTCACCAAGAGACAAAGATTTCTGCAGGCTGCGGGGCCTTCCCTTGGGCCATCGTTTCATGGATGAGAGGAGACCACCCGAGGCTTGGTAAAAGGCCTGGAGTAACAATTTCTGGAAATCAAAGTGCTGAGAGTAGTG